ACGTATTAATTAAAGTCTTAAATATATGTTTATGTGTGAGATATTTGAAATTGCCTGAAATACGTGTTAATAGCATATCTGATAATATATGATGATTTGTCTTTGATCCGTGAGCATGGATTAGACATAGTCATTCGTCCCTAGTCAGAGAGTATGGAGAGGGCATAGTCATTTTTCATTGATCCGAGAGCATGGATTATACATAGTCATTCGTCCCTAGTCCGAGAGTATGGAGAGGGCATAGTCATTTGTCAATAATCCGAGAGCATGGATTAGACATAATCATTCGTCCCTAGTACGAGAGTACGGAGTGGGCATAGTCATTTGTCATTGATCCGAGAGCATGGATTAGACATAGTCGTTCATACCTGATCTGGGATAATGGATTAGGTAAAGTCGTTCATTTCAGATCCGAGAGTATGGATCGTGTCGTTGTGAGGATCGACAGGGTGGAGTAAATTGCTTATATGAGGTAAAATTGTATCTTTCAAGTTCATATATATATATATATATATATATATATATATATATATATATATATATATATGTTATAACATTATGGGATTGAAATCCCTATGTACTCACCAGGTTTCCCAACCTGACCCACTCAGTTTATTGTATCACATGTAGCGATATTAAAGATACATTATGCTGAGAGATTCAATGAGTATTAGGCCACTAGTTTAATTACTGTAAGGCTTGTAATATTTCGTTATGCTTATGTTTCTGTATTGACGATGACATCCCAATGTTTTAATATAAATAAAATACATTTCTTCGGAAATGATTTGATAATATCATTATCATGTTTTCTGGGAACAAATTCCGCAATATTATTCTTCAAAAGGATATTTTGATTTTTAAATAAGCATAAACAAATCAGTATTTTCTGGCCGTGAAATTGGGGATGTCATAATGAACCTCCACCTCCATTTGAACAATCTGTTGAAGGAAAACAAACTACCCACTCCCAATCACTCTTCCTTTCTGCTAGCCATAACTCGATCCCAACTAACCCAATGCACCCGTCTTTCTCCCAAATCTACTCCCCAAATGAACCGAGCCCATAACATCTCTAAATATCTCAAAACCAAAATCAGAACTGGGAAAATAGACATGGAATAAGTCCTAATAAACCCAAGAACCGATTTCAACAACGTAAGACGACCACCAATAGAGTGAGACTTTGCTTTCCAAGTAGAGTCTCTTAGAGAAACGATCCAACATACCCAACCAAGAAGAAAACCTCGACATGTTCTAACGAACCACCACCCCTAGGTGCATAAACGACAAGGACAAAATCTCACACCCAATCATAAGAGTTGTAGCCTCAACTTTGGGCGTCAGAACCCCAAAACAAATCAACTTACTTTTCAATAAGTTGATTTCCAGACCCAAATCCAGAAAAAAAAACATCTAAGGATTCTAACGATCCTTTTAGCATTCCCAACATCCCACAGATACAACAAGACAACATCATCATCATAAAATAAATGAGAGATCTCTTCCTCCATCCCACTTATTTTAATGCCACCAAAACAGCCTTCATACGTGGCTATAACAAGATCCACATGAAGACCCTCCATATCCAGAATGAAAAGAAAAAGAGACAGCGGGCCTCCTTGCCTCAACCTCCTCCTGATAGGAAACTCTAGCGTAGGCAACCCCATAACTAGAAATGAATCTTTAGCCGAAGACAAAAGTGCCCTAATCCACCCGCACCGAATATGACCAAAGCCCATGATATTCATTACTTTAAAGAGATAATCCTAAGAAACTGAATCATAAGCTTTCTCAAAATCCACTTGGAAAATCATGAGACGCTGAAGAGAAGCTGTCTCCACGCAATAACCTCATTAGCATAAATGGACCATCCAAGATTTGGCGACCTTTAACAAAGGCCAACTACTCCAAACTAATCACACTACCAATCACCTGAGACAATACCATCCAAGTTGGATATATCTCATTGATAAGATAGTAACCATGTTTGTATTGTTCTCTGTTCATATTAAATGAACAATGGGATATTTATATTGGTAAAAAGGAAATTTTTTTTTAACTTTCAACAGTCGTATGAGATTGAGAAACAGAGCTTCACAGGTAAATAAACCTACCTCATCTTATTTTGGCGGTACCTTATTGTCGAAGGGGACGATACACTGGCGGTACCAGTGGTACCTTTCCTTAGGTTAACCCGGAGTGGGAGGTGTTAAGGTGCACATCATGCACGTTATGGCAGTGAACACCACCCCAAGTTTTGGCGCGGTGGACGTGGTCGCGATTAACCGTGGTGCGAACTACAACTGGAATCTCCTCCTCCTCCTCCTCCTCATCCTCTCTCTCTCTCTCCCTCGTCCTCCTCTCTATGCGTGAAGACCATCCCAGTGGTGGCGGTGGAGGGGTGGTGTGCTGAGATGACCATCCTTTTGGCACATTCACATTATTAGCACTCCGTATAGCCAGTGGCGAGTCTAAAATGAAAAACCATATGTTCACTAACAAAAATCAACTGACTCGGTTGAAATGAAAACTAGGTTCAACCAGCCAGTTCAGCACATATAAAAATTCGTGGTGAATAGACTAACCCAATCGGTCCTTCCTTAATTTTTTTACTAAAACCAACTAATAATTAGAGTACGCCGGTCTAAACCATGCATCAACAAGCTTATGGTGTATAAATATAAAATATGCGACATATATTTATAACGGAAAACCCCTTACCATTTTCTTGAAGTCGATGTTGGACTTCTTCACGCCATGAATATGATATTTCTTCTATTGTTTACAATTAGTGGGCCGGTTTTCGGGTTTTTTTTTACCTAATCGGATTTTGGGTTTGGACCGGACCGTACCCAAAACGGGATTTAACTCGGACCGGACCAGAAAACATTTTCACCTTAATTTCTTTTATAGATATCACCTACAAATATTTATTACTAATCTAATCATATATTTATGACGTTTCCAAATAGAAAAAAAATGAATTATAAGGATCTAAGTCATTGTTGTTATCGTCCTCTAATGATTATATAAAACAAATAAGAAATTTTCAGGTGAATATGAAGTAAGTGAAATATGAAATTAAAAAATGTATGATTAGTTGATTATAATAATATTTTATTTTTTTCACCAAAATATATTGTATTTTGTTTTAAAGAACACAACATAAAATTTATTACATTTATTTCATTACAGTACATTAAGTAACATATAATTTTACGAGAAACCGATTTAAAAAAAAAATCAGATTAATATAATTCTACTTATTACCTTTGCATTCATCTTCTTTTATGTATTTTTTTAGTCGAATTGTACAAACAACAAAGATACGAATAATGGATGTTACGTAGTAAGATTATAATTTGAAATAGTATGCTAGAGACTAGAGAATAACATGACCAACAAAACCCGAAACCGTAAACAACAAATATGCGAAACCAGTTTGGTGCCCGGAACAGGACCGGATCGAAACCATAAACAACACTGCCAAAGTCTAATTCGGCCCAAAACCCGAAACCCGCTTTAGTACCCAGAACCGGACCGAACCCGGACTTGATACACCTAAAGACGGTCTGGTTTTCGGGTAAGGTAATTCATGATTTTCGGTCTTCGGGCCGGTCAGGTTCGGGTCGGACCCATTGCTCATCCCTATACTTCTACCCATTTCAATGAAATTTATAGGGTATGTTGATGATGCTATTGAATACTTGAATATGGAAATGGTTGTGACGAGTTTAACCGATTTATAATCTTTTTTGATAAATCATATTAAGCTGTTTTTATTTGTATGCTATTTAAAAAAAATATATATAGACTTGTTCGATAGGCAGTTAGTTGTTTGTTATCCCGTTAAGTTCTCATATCGTTCTATAACAACTCTTGACTTTGTATAATAATCTCCTCCAAAAAAATCTCATTCAACACAAATGATTAATTTATATAATAAATATATAGTTGTACTAAAAAAATAACATATTTTAAATATCATTAACTGTAAAAAATAGTACACTAGATTTTTATTGCAAATAAACTATTCTATATTTATTAGAATTTTACATTATTTATATTTGATATTGTTATGACTTATCAATATTCTTTTAGTCTTTTTAATTTAATATACATATTTTAGAATTTCGATATATAATTTCTTACAAATGATGTAAATACTGTTGCAAGATTTATTATTTTACAGAAAAGTGTATGATAAAGTATTTTTGGTTACATTCAACCCACAGAAGGTGGAGTCGAAATTTCGAGCTGAAAAAGATGCTGAAACGTGAAAGAATATACCGTAGAAGATACTTAATTACACTATTTGTTTGTTGCATATAAAATCTAAACATCAGCGCCCCCAATATTTCCATCACCTTCCGGATGATCTTCAGAAAGACAAAAAGGTCTGTATCAGTTCATTATTTACTTCGAAAATTCCTTCAATACGTCGTTTTCTTTGATTTCTTCTGATTCTACTGGAAATTTTAGTGTTCAATTCTTATTTCTTATTATTTTATTGAGTATGGACATGCATGCATGCATGAATCACAAGCACACACTTCCTCTGTTTTTTTTCCCGTACATAAACTCGATTTCAATTAATGGCGATTTTTAGTTATGTCGAGGATAATGATCTCTGTTAGAGATCTTAGTAATATATGCTAATCGTAACTGTACTGATTTGAAGATCAAACAGAATGTTGAAAGTATATGGACTGAATTGTACCTTTAGTGATCAGTTGGAGACTATTGATTGGTGTTATTGATGAATCATGTATGTGCATAGAAATTTGATTTTAATTATTGGCGACTTTTGAGTTATTTCGAAGATGATTTTACAGGTCTTCGTAGTGCATGAAGAATCGTACCTGTACTGATCAATTGGAGACGATTGATTCATGAAACTACTGAATTCCGTGTGTGTGATTGCAGAGTTTGACGAGATCTGTTGACGAGTTAGGGTTTTTGGAAACCGACGAAGTTTCCGGAAGTAATTAAGAAAAATGTCGACAGCTGGAAATTTGAAAGTTCTGAATGCTCTGGATGGCGCCAAAACTCAATGGTATCATTTCACAGCGATAGTGATCGCAGGGATGGGGTTTTTCACAGACGCCTACGATCTCTTCTGCATCTCTCTTGTAACCAAAATGCTTGGCCGCATTTACTACACAAAACCAGGCTCACCGAAGCCTGGAAGCTTACCGCCAAATGTCTCCGCCATGGTCAACGGTGTAGCCCTCACCGGAACCCTCGCCGGTCAACTATTCTTCGGGTGGCTCGGGGATAAGCTCGGAAGGAAGAAGGTGTACGGAATCACACTCATGCTCATGTGTCTTTGCTCTATAGCTTCAGGTTTATCCTTCGGGAGCTCTCCAAAATCAGTGTTGACCACTCTCTGCTTTTTCCGATTCTGGCTCGGGTTCGGGATTGGCGGCGATTACCCACTCTCCGCCACCATAATGTCGGAATATTCCAACAAAAAAACACGCGGTGGGTTTATCGCGGCGGTTTTCGCTATGCAAGGGTTTGGGATTTTAGGAGGTGGTGTGTTCGCGATTATCATTTCATCTGTGTTCAATTCAAGTTACAAAGCTCCACCGTATGAAATCGATCCGTTGAAATCAACGGTTCCCGAAGCCGATTATGTCTGGAGGATCATCTTAATGGCTGGAGCTCTCCCGGCTCTCCTCACTTTCTATTCAAGATCGAAGATGCCGGAAACCGCCCGTTACACCGCTCTGGTGGCCAAGAACGCCACCAAAGCCGCTTCCGACATGTCTAAAGTGTTGAATGTTGAAATCGAATCCGATCAACAAAAAGTAAACGCAAAATTCGAAGACGACTATGGGCTTTTTTCTAAAAAGTTCCTCAAACAACACGGGAAACACTTGCTTGGAACCACCACCACTTGGTTTCTACTCGACATCGCTTTCTATAGTCAAAATCTTTTCCAAAAGGACATATTCACCGCTATCGGGTGGATCCCACCAGCAAAAACAATGAACGCGATTGAAGAAGTGTACAGAATCGCAAGAGCTCAAACACTAATCGCGCTATGCAGTACTGTTCCCGGTTACTGGTTCACTGTGTTCTTGATCGATAGGATCGGAAGATTCACGATTCAGATAATCGGGTTCTCGATGATGACCATCTTCATGTTTGCATTAGCTTTCCCTTACGACCATTGGACTCGCCCTGAAAACAATATCAAATTTGTTGTCATGTACTCCTTCACTTTCTTCTTTGCCAATTTCGGCCCTAACACCACCACGTTTGTGGTCCCGGCGGAGATTTTTCCGGCGAGGGTGAGGTCGACCTGCCATGGTATCTCAGCTGCATCGGGGAAGCTTGGGGCAATGGTGGGTGCTTTTGGGTTCTTGTATTTGGCTCAGAATCAAGATCCAGCCAAGACAGATGCGGGTTATCCACCCGGTATTGGAGTGAAAAACTCACTGATTGTGTTAGGTGTGGTTAACCTTTTTGGAACTTTGTGTACTCTGTTAGTCCCAGAATCCAAAGGGAAGTCGCTTGAGGAAATCACCGGTGAGTCCAAGAACGAAACCAATGATTCACGGGCTTAGGTAGAGTTGTATGTATCGGCCTATTAAGTATTAATAACAATCCTCGTACCTTTTTAGTTTTAAAAAGTGTAACTTCCGTGTGACTGACTCGTTAGTCCAATGAATGCAAAAGAGTATAACTACAAGCTGTTTTATTTTGTCATCTTCTGCTTAACAAACTACATAAGACAACCAATATACATAAAAAACTACACAAGACAACCATGCATATTTGTATAACGATGTGTTACAAACAACACGAAAAACACTAAAAGGCTAGCTTAAAAAGTGCATAAAGAAAAATCAGTAGACGCGTTCTCTAAGCACATCGAGCTCCATTTCTGTAGAATCAGTAGCCTGAATCTCATAGTGAACGCCATCTAAGTCGTGTCTGAGGCGGCCTTTAGATGTTGCATAAAGCATTTTGGCACGGATCCTAGAAGATTCAGGTGACCTAGATTAAGACAACATGCAATCAAGTAAGGGATACACACACAAACAGTACAAGACAAAACAAAACAGCCTTATCTTGTTTGAATAAAATATTATCCAAGTCTACATGTAACAAGGAAAGCTAACCAGGCGATGAAGAATATCTTGCTCTTTTGACAGTTATCGGAAGTCACGAAGTCAAAGTCATAAACGGCATATCTGCAATCGTTTTCTGGCAAAGCTGATGTGAAATCTTCGTAATTCTCAGCAGGGCTGCCTGTTTTTTCAACAACAACTTGGTTTTTCTTCTCATCGATCTTAAAGATTACATACCGGTGAGCCTTTTTCCTTTGTAGTTCCAGAAACGTGCCTTTGCAGTGCTCAGCTACACCCATCCCAGAAGAAGCATTCGACTGTGAATCAAACACCGTATACGTAAGAACCTTAGAATCAGCAACAAAAATTAAAAGAAGGCACCCGGCGGACATTTCGTCGAACACCTTGAAGGCATCCTACTGATTCTGTCTATCAATCCAACAGGTTGATACGAATGTGGAGAAGATTTCCCAAGTTAAGAGTGAACAGAGACCATACATGTTACACAAATAGCAATAGCAATCCCGACGGTGATTTCGAACGGAATAGGAAGTCGAGATGCAGAATCGACCATAGTCTCGGAAGCACAATAACATAATAGCAGATAATAGGAAATACTGGATCAATACGTACCCCTCCTCGGAATCTGAACGACATGACTGATCTTCGATGCGAATATGTATAGGCTCCCCAAATTGCAGTATCAAGAAGTCGGAAAAACAGGAATGACGATTTATAAGTGGAGAAGGTAGTGCATATGAAAAAGGATTCGGGAAAGAAGGTGGGATTCCGGTTCGAATCGATTCAGATCGGTGCGTTAACTCAACGCAACTTTGCCAACTTTTCCTTTCGTGCGTGCCTATGTGGGTTCCGGACTTCCGGTTCTTAAACGGCAACTAGTTTCTGCAATCTCAATATTTCATTTTTGTTTTTTTATTATATTTTTTATTTTTTTTTATGTATTTGTATTTTATTCTAATGAAAAATAGATTTTTTTTTGTTAAATGTCATTCTATTATATCGTGTAATTAATTTCATGTCATTTGTGAGCTTATTGATTTTCTATTTCAAATTTTAAAATTTAAATTTCACACTCTAATTATATTAAATTAATTACATTATAATAAAAATTAAAATAAAATTAATACAGATTATAAGGTGATATAATGTCACGTATTTATTTAAATCAATGATTATAATTTTATATAACCAAAAAATATCTCTTAATTAATAATTTATTTAAAATAATTGATTCATAATTTTAAGTTCTTATTATAAAAGTTTAATTAATTTTGTAACTGTGACACTCACAGGTTATAAACTAGATATTAGTAAATTATCTTTAATTCTTTGTTTGCAATGTTTACACAAATAATTCACATTTAACTTAATAGTTTATTAGTTGTGAGAGTTATGTATTTGAGTTTGTTTAAAAAAGATAAATATAAAGGTGTAAATATTTGAGATGTTTGAATTTATAATAAAATGATAAAAAATATTGAATTATTAAAATTGAAGTGTTTTTTTTTTCTTTTAAATTTAAGCAAATAATTTACATAAATAAAGAAAAAAATTAATGGGTTTTTAATTTTTGACTTTTGAAATTAAAATGTAAGACTATTAATGAAATTGATATTCATTTATTATTATATTTATTTCAAATATTAGATTTAAATATTATATGAAATTTAATAAAATGAAAAAAAAAACATAAAATTACATGTGGAAAAATATTAATTTAAAATAGCCACAAAATAATATGTGGAAATACTCGTTGGAAAGGAAAATAGTAAAATCCAAACACATCTTTTAATACTTGTATTTCATGATTTATCTTTTTATATGGTAAAATCGAAATTGAAATAACATATCAAAGCGTACTAATGTCTACCTTTTTAATAAGAAAAATATTAAAAATAACTATTTCTTTTTAAATTAGAATAATCAGTAAGCTCACATATTTCTACTATAGCCATATTTTTAATAATTGACCCATTGGGAAATGGTGTGGCCAATTCGAAATATATTTTTGCTCGTATTCAATGTCGTTTTTTATATTTCGCAATCCTCACTTCAAGTATGGTCCAACCATGCAAACTAAGGGTCGATTAAACAGGAATTGAGAACGAAGAATTGGATAATAACTAATAAGCAGCGAGTAACATTTTTGCACTGGTAGCATGATAAATGGTGTGACCACTATGAAATTGCATTTTTGTCGGTATAAGATGTTATTTATCCGATACAATGTCTTCTTTTATGTTCCGCAATCCCATCAAAATACGAGGATTTAGAACTGAGAAATGAATATTGTGAAATGAGGATACGATGTCGTTTTTATGTTTCAAAATCCCCATTGCAAAATAAGTTTTGAGTAGTAAGAAATTAGTATTGCGAAATGAGAGTTGAGAATGAGGATTGAACATTTAGTACCGAGATATTGTATCCCCCTATATGATGTCATTTTTAGCATTTTGAGATTTTATTGTGTATGAAGTTATTCTTTTTATTCAATGCAAACTGTTTATATAGTTTCTGAAAATGATGTTAACATTTTTTTTTAATTGTAAAGATATTCAATGACATTTTTTGTAGAACAAAATAGCTTTATATTACGAAAATAAAGTTGAAAAGTACTTTTGTAAATGAAATAGTGTGAAAAAAAACCCTTTAGAAAAGACCAATTTGGTAGTAAAGGTATTTCTAGGAGGCATATCCTAAAATATTGATAATAGTGGGAAATTCATGAAATCTTTGGTGCTGTTTGTTTTTTCGAAGAGAAAATTCATTAAGTTTGCGGACCACCTCTGCAATCCTCTGTAGCAAAAGAGGTGGAACAAACGGCTGCAGCCTATAGTAAAGCGTGTTTGTTTTTTAACATCTGCAGACTGCTGCAGTAAGCTGAAATTTAAATAATCTAACTTTATAAACTGAAAATAGTTTTCAACACCGAAATTTTAATAATTTTAGTCTTAAAACATTGAAAAAAATACTAAAAAGAACATGTAAAAAAACAAAAATATAAAACTTTTTAAAAAAAGAAACTTAAAAAAATATAAAAGAAGCTAACAGTTTTATTCTAGAAAAAAAACTAATTGTAAAAAACATAAAAAAAGAAAATAATAAAAAAAATTAAGAAAGTATTGCAAACGATGTCTATAAAATTCGTAAAAAATTACACACGTTAAAAAAGATACAACTGAAACTGAAAATATTATTAATAGAAAATGTAAAAAAATTAAAAAAATCAAAGTTTTTTTTAATCAAGTTAAAAAATTTTGTGGAAACTATAAAAAGAAATTATATCAAATCCGTAAATAAAAATTTAAAAATATCAAAGTTTTTTTTTTAAAAAAAAAAATAAAAGTTACAAAAAAAATAATAAGTTATACCAAAATTCTAAAAAAAACACTTGGAAAAAAATGAAGGCTTAAGAGGTTTGAAGAGGAAAGTCAAGTGCTGCGCCACGCAGCACACACGCAGATGTTTTGTAGTCTGAAGTCTTACAAAAAACAAACTGCTGCGAGAGAGAAAGTGATGCGCGTGTGCTGCGCCGCGCAGCAAAAAGTGGTTTGAAGAGGTTTTTTTAAAAAAACAAACAACACATTTATCTATTTTTTTAGGCACATGATCATTTTATACATTTAGGTGGTGTTTGTTTTTTTAAAAAAACATCTTCAAACCATTTTTTTGCTGCGCGGCGCAGCACTTTTCTTCTCGCAGCAATTTGTTTTTTGGAAGGCTTCAGACCACAAAATCTTTGTGCGTGTGCTGGTGGCGCAGCACTTGACTTGCCTCTTTAAACCTCTTCAGCTTTCATTTTTTCCAAGTGTTTTTTTAGAATTTTGGTATAACTTATTTTTTTTTAAGCTTTTATTTAAAAAAAAACTTTGATTTTCTTAAACTTTTATTTACAGATTTGATACAATTTCTTTTTATAGTTTCCACAAATTTTTTTAACTTGATTTAAAAAAAAAACTTTGAGTTTTTTAATTTTTTTACCGTTTCTGTTAATACTATTTTCAGTTTCAGTTGCATCTTTTTTAACGTGTGTAATTTTTTACGAATTTTGTAGACATCGTTTGCAATACTTTCTTAATTTATTATTATTATTATTATTTTTATGTTTCTTACAATTAGTTTTTTTTAGAATAAAACTGTTAGCTTCTTTTATATATTTTTAAGTTTTTTTAAAAAGTTTTGTATTTTTGTTTTTCTACATGTTCTTTTTAGTATTCTTTCAATGTTTTAAGACTATAATTATTAAAATTTCGGTGTTGAGAACTATTTTCAGTTTATAAAGTTAGTTTATTTAAATTTCAACTTACTGCAACAGTATATAGATGTTAAAAAACAAACACGCTTCTTATTATAGACTGCAACCGTTTGTTCCACCTCTTCTACTACAGAGGATTGCAGAGGTGGTCCGCAGACTTAATGAATTTCTCTTCGAAAAAACAAACAACACCTTAATGACGAGATGTTTAATGATTAAACGAGTCTAGCTATTTGTAAAAAGCTCAACTCATTAAACAAATAAAAACCGAGCTTCTCGAGCTTTGAAATTAGCCTCGAAAAAAACAAAATTTGAGCTCGAACTCCTTGAATATAATCGAGTTGAACTCGAATTGAGCAGTTTCTTACCAAATGTCTTCTAGCACAGCGGTATCCGGTGTTGTCCTCCTTCCTTGGAGTCGATGGTACAAGTCTCACTGTGGACATAGATGAAATAATTTAGGAGTAGTTTAATATATATTTGTATTGCCGTTCAAAAAAAAATTTGAGCAGTCTCTTAATTTTTCACTTTCAGAGCATGTGATAACCTTTTAACTGTTATCAGCTTCTTAATTTTTAAAAGAATGATTTATATCTAGAGAAAAGAATTATTTCAGAAATACCCTAATTTTAAGATTTTTTTTTCTCTTTTTTTCTACTTTACACTGTTGTCTCTCTTTATCTTTTCATTTTCTCCGACCCCTTAGACTGGTAGGTGTGGGCAACGCCCACACCAGCGTTATTAAGAAAATGACAAAAAGCCGGTGTTAATGGAAGTGATGGTGGTAACGGGAAGCAACGCGCAGACGTATAACACCTAATAACATGGATGGAGGGCGGTGTTCTTAGACGTTATTTGATGTTATTAGGTGCAATAACGGGCGCCCACTCCTAGCAGCCTTAAAAATAAAGAATCTCACAAATTTAGATTTTAAAAGTTTATGCCAAACAACCATGAGCTAAAAAAAAAAATCCTTTTAATCACGCATTACTCGTTTGTATAATTTGAAGGGGGAGAGAAAATGCGATTACTGTTTGTAACCTCTTAATTTTTTCTATGTTTCTACCAACTTTGGGGACTCCGAGGAGAACCAAAAGGGTTTTCTACAAAAACAAACCCAAGATCTCATACTGTAAATCGCAGTAAAAATCATGGAATCTGAAGGTATTCTTCATTTGGGGTCACTCTCTTCTTCACTTTTCTTATTAAAAAATTTACATTCCTATCCGATTTCTCTATTATAATATTCAATTTCGTGTTTAGGGCAACAACAAAACACATCCAACCCATCAGCCGTGATCGCAGCTCTTCTATGTAAAAGAGCCAAACAACATGAAGAACTTCGAAGCATCGAAAAACAGGTTTCATTTCGGCCTAACGTTTCCTTGATCTTGTAATTTCATTAGTTTCTTGATTTCCGTTAACTGGCTTCCTTAAATTCGTTTATTAGGTCTTTTGTTGATTTTGATGGGTCCGTAGGTTTCTTCAATCTTTAAATTTGAGTTTCTGCTTTGGGTTTGAAGAAATTCAGTGGTAACAAAAGAGAATTTCAATGTTTTCAGTCAATTACCGATTTGCAAATAGTTCACATATATATAATTGTGTTTTGGCATCCTCTAAAAAAGGAAAGTTTCAAGGTTCTTGGATCAATGGATATAAAAGAAACAAAGATTCACAATTTCAGTTATAGTGTGTGTTTTCAGTATCTTTCTAAATAACGAAAGTTTCAAAAAATTTCTAGGGTTACCAAAATCTTTAGGTTAAGAGACAGTAGTCTGGATGTTCCCCCTGCATTTCACAATTAGGGTTCCCTTCCTGAAAGTTCCAACAACTGTAGAAGTCATGAATTCTCAGTTCTCTACTTTCAGTTTCCTTTTTCAAGGATAAATGTTTTAAAATGAAATGTATGAGGACAATGTTGTATCTATATTTGTATCCGTATCCGTATCTGTATCTGATTGTGATGTTCTATAAATTTCATGACAACTAAAAACCTAACTGTTTTTTTTTTCTTAATGTTTTGTTCAAGGTTTATGACATGGAGACGGCTTATCTACAAGATCCAAGCCAAAGTGGAAACGTATTAAAAGGTTACGAAGGGTTTCTGTCAGCATCTAAGAGCACTTCATTGTAATTCCAAAAACTACTCCCTTAACTTTCTTTGATCCATATCTTTATTCTCTACTACATCGGTCCCATTAAAATTGCAACGAAAAACTGTTTGTTGAATGTCTAAATTACCCTTTGACAAATGCAAAATAAAGACATCTTGTGGACCCATGTCGATGCTATATATATATATATATATATATATATATATATATATATATATATATATATATATATATATATATTTGTTGTTGGTAATGGGCAAATAGGTCATTTAATTGACTCGAGTTACTTGTTTCGATTTCAGCTACAAGCGGTCTAGGAAATTTCAGGTGGAAGATAGGCTCTTTTCACTATCTTCGGTCACCTCACAAGCGGTATTCTCGATTCTATTTTATTTGTTTGTAATATTTGTATGTGTAACCAATTTATATGGAACCGGTTATATTTTTCTTTAATAACTCTGCTCAAATAAGCTCATCAACCGTTTTAATATATTATCTTTTTATGAAACTAAAAACAAGGACAAAGAAGTGTTTGTTATTGGGTCCATCCAACCCGTTTTCACATGGTTTAGAATTTAGAAATTTACCTTTTTTAGCTTAACCTGTGTTACGCCATTTTGCCAACTATAACCCTCGCTTTCTTTTGCCTCACAAAATGTTTTTATTGAGTTACGCCATTTAGTTTGCATATTAAGAGTATATCGCCATGTGTGGGCAATTTCGTCTTTTCCAACTTGTGTATGGCTAATCATAAACTTTTTTTACTTTTATGTGGCTTCTCAGACCGAAGAACATGCTGCAATGGGAGCTGCATCCGCAATGGGACCGTAAGCACCTTCTTTTACCCTACTAACATACTGCGTTTGATATTCATTGGACTGAGACTGATATCAGTGTTGGGACAAAATTGTAATTTTTGGGAATGTTTTATTTGGTCAGGGGAAAGCCGAAAAAGGGTAGACCGGGACCCAGGGATGTGAGAAGAATCAGGCAGTACAGTGAACCTGACTTTGACTATGAAGATGATCCTGATTTGATTTGAGATATTTGGTTTATGGAGGCTTACAACTAGGTATGCTACAAGAGAAGGGATAAAGATATATAATAACAAAAGTTTGGTTTTGCCGTTGATGGTGGATGAAAGATTGTTGCTTTTATGTATATAATATATATGCATATAAACATTGGTAGTTTTATGAATTTAGGGTGATCAACTCAAAACCTATATCGTGAAAGCTTACATTGCTCAACTTGTGAATGGTTGATACGTAATCCATTTTGATATTGACCCATGGGTCGGATTAATAGGATGATCCAACTGTTAGACATTCTTGTTTGGAGTTGCCCATTAGGCTCATATTCTTAGAAGGCAACTAACTTGTGGGCCTTTCCTACAACCATACAAAGAAACAAAATTTTGGGAATATTTCAAAATATGAAGTTTAGCAAAATCATAAATTCATTCGGTTTAACAAAGAAACTGAAGTTCAGAATCAAAAATCAAAGAACTGAAATTCATCTGGTGTAAGAAAGATTTGAACTTCAACAACTTTTAAATGAAGAAGTAAAAATAAAGTGACAAAATTATAAAAATGAACAGTTTGTTGAAATTTTAGTGGCAAAATTAAGAAAATGTTAAAATTATAAACATGGAAAGTTTCCTGTTGAAACCTTCCATGCGTTTTAATATATATATATATATATATATATATATATATATATAATTTCATTTAAAAAAAATTGTATTCATATTACATTGTAAGAAAGAAATCGAATTGCATAATTAGATTCAGAAAGAATAAGAAATTTCAAAAAAAGTTTTAACGTACATAGTATCGAAGATGATCTAGAACTTCAGATTCATTGCAAATGCACAAAATCAAAAGGAAAAAAAATATTTTTTAGAAGTGCTAGTATGATCTTGTTTTAGAATAAACCAATTTTTTATTATTCAATTATGTTGCGACTTGCGATAAACCAAGAAGGCTTGATCAATTTGTATCATAATATACGATGTCATTGTAGTCAAACATACATCAATTGCCTACTTCTTTAGCCGTTAGAAACTTAGATCACTTGATTTTTCGTCTTTTTAGTTGTTTTGAAAAACACAAAACGACAAATATCCCAAAAACCAAAAAAAACCCTAAAACAGATCAGACAAACATGAAAATGGAAAATTCAGTAGAAACAAAAAAAAGAAAAAAAAATCAATTTTGAATGTTTAAAACTTTTTTTTTTCGTTTGGTTTCAACTTTGGGCAAAAATCGAACATCAACCCTTGCAGCATAGCATAGGTAGTGTAGGTGGGGTATACAAAGCCTCGTGATTTGCTCCTCCCTTATTCGCCGGCGTGAAAGTTCGATCACATAGTTAGCTGTGGGGATACTCTTTGCTCTTCTTTCTCGCATAGTCGCAAGAACTTGCTCCCTGTTCTTTTTCGATCAACCTCTTATGCTAATTCTTCTTTCCTTTCTCTATACGTTGATTATTTCAACTTTGGGGGCTGGAAAATATGAAAATGCAGAAGACCATGGCGCAAAATCCTTTGTCGGAAGACGTTGGTGCGTCTATATCATGGATTGAGACCTCCGACACCGTCTCCCGCCACTTCTTCTTTCAACCAGACGGCCAATTTTCCGTAAGTATTCAGCATACGATAACGCTAATCAATTTTTTACAATTAGGGTATTCAAAGTGCCATAATTTACAGTTCTAATAAATGTATCATCTGTTGTTAATCGCAGAATCTAAACTTTTTCATAACGCTTAACATCATGAAAATTGAATCTTGTGGGATTTTTGTATTTTAGGTGAAGGTGCTTGACGATTCAAGACCAGTTGTCCACAAAATGGCTGAATCCTTCGTCAACAAATTCTTCCCCTCTGGATTTCCATACAGGTGAGTTCATGGAACTTAGTTCCCCTAAATTGTGTTGAAAAGTTTCATTTCTCATATCATGTAAATTCTACCATCTCTTCTTACTCCAGCGTCAACGAAGGATACCTTAGATATACTAAATTTCGGGCATTACAACACTTCTCAAGTGCAGCACTATCCGTTTTATCAACTCAGGTCCTCTTCCAATACACTCCGTCTCTTAAATTCCATTTTTACATGATTCATTCCATTGTAAGAATACATAATCTTACCCCTTTGCAGTCACTGCTATATGCTGCAGGCTTGAGACCTACCCCTGCACAAGCAACTGCAGTTAGTTGGGTGAGAAACAACTTTCATCTCAAGAATTTGATCATACCAATACTAAAAGAACTTAACCTCACATTCTTGATGTCAAACAGGTACTAAAAGATGGAATGCAGCATATGGGAAAACTAATATGTAGCCATTTAGGTGCACTCATGGATGCAGAACCCAAACGGTGGAGAATAGTGGGTTTGTACTTTGTACCATTATTTTTGTTCTTTGTTCTTCTATATGACTATGAAATATACAACTTCAAGAACCTCTTTTTAATATGTAGCTGATGTGCTATACGACTTGGGCACTGGTCTCGAAATTGTTTCCCCATTATGCCCTCAACTGTTTCTTGAAACAGCTGGGCTTGGGAATTTTGCAAAGGTTAGTTGGTGGTGAATCAATATCAATATTCAATAATTATATAATAACCCAAATTGACCAATTTTAAAAACTTGGTTGCCATTATTGAACAGGGAATGGCTGTGGTAGCTGCAAGAGCAACAAGATTACCAATTTATTCTTCATTTGCAAAAGAAGGAAATCTTAGCGACTTATTTGCAAAAGGAGAAGCCATCTCAACTGTGTTTAATGTGCTTGGGTTAGGTGCTGGTATCCAGTTGGTTTCAACAGTTTGTTCATCTATGCAAGGAAAGGTACATGTAAAATTTTGAATTTACATTATTGCCCCTTTACTATATATGGGAAACAAATCTAATATTAGTTCCTTTTGTTTTGTGCAGATGATTGTTGGGTCTCTTCTTTCTGTAATACATGTCTACAGTGTATCTGAAGAAATGCGAGCTGCTCCTGTTAACACATTAAATCCACAAAGAACTGCAATGATTATAGAAGATTTCATTAAGGTTCATAAACAAATGCTAAAAACTCTTTATCATTATTTACATTTTTGTCCTGTCTATTTTGCTAATGTTTTATGAATTTCTTATTAAGATTTACAGTCCCTGTGTATAGCTTATTTTTGCAATTTTGGTCTTGTAACATTTTTGGTTCAGGTTCCAAGTAAAATGACTCTTTTAGTCCCTGAGCATAGCTGATTTTATCCAAATTTGTTCCCAAAAATATCCTCATTTTAGTTAGAGGACCAAAAATGTTAGGAAACATCAAATAAGGACCAAAATTGCAAAAGAAAACATTGTGGGACAAAAACTGAAAAAAAAAAACCCCAGCTAAATCAGTTATGGACCAAAACAAATAATAAAAAGTCAAAAAAACGAGATAAGGGTATATTTGTCACATTCTATATCAGTTATGGACCAAAACCTCAACAAGTGAAAAGTTTCATTTAGGGACGAAATATGCAAATTTGAGTAAAGCAGAAGGATGAAATTTATAATTTTAGACAGGAAAGGTGTCGAGCCCAGTAGACCTGAGGTACAAAGAAGATCTGTTGTTTCCAGGGAGGTTAATAAAAGATGCTGGGAATGTGAAAGTGGGTGGTGATTTGCATAAGGCAATTAAGCCCTCAAGATTAAAGGAACTTAAACAAATGTTTCCAAAAGAGAAATTTTTATTAAGTTGTGGAATTGAAAAAGGATGGACAGATATGGTGTTGGAGCATAATGCCACCGGTGAAGATGCTTTGAGAGGGTGGTTGGTGGCGGCATACGCATATTCTTCAAATATTGAAAAAAATGGGTCCGAATCTGAATGGGATCATTTACAAGAGGCTTATCAGAAGATGAAGGTGGTGATGATTACATTGCTTCCTCAAATACAAGCTAAAGGATGGCATACGGATCGTTTTCTTGATGGAAAAGGTATGCGGTTTGGTTTTTAATTAGAGATTATAACAAGTTTGTTTTTCCTAAAATACCCTTTTCTGTGTTTGTAACTTTGGGTTCATTTATTGATTAGTTCAAACTCACTGAGTCAACTCAGTAAGGTCGCATATACTCACTGTTTTCTTGATGCAATATATGTGAGGCTTAGGTTATAGTTCTGTATTAGTTGGAAAGTTTCCCATCGAACCAGGGTGTGTGAAAATATGCTTCATATTCTTGCAAATTTTGGATTGTTTATGATTGTATGTATAGCTTTATTTATATCTTGTTGAGGCCAATGGATTTATGGTTATTGTATTATATCAGTTTAATTTGTGATATTTTTTGTTGAATGATGATGCCATGTTTTCAAAAAATATATTAGTGCATATGTGTAATGGTGAAATTGATGGTATTATAAAGGTAATTTAGTTAATTACTTGAGGAAATAATGAATTTAATGTAATAAATGTAAACGATAAAAAAAGTTGTAATAAGAAACACCGGAGTAATTGTAGATGATATTTGCATAACTAATTATTATTCACACTTGTAAATCAGGAGAGATTCTCCTCTAGTCTCGAATGTGACCTAAAAGTAAAATCTATCATCTTCATTGATCAGTTCCAGCTGAAGGTTTTGCAACATCATCTTGAAGAAGCTGTGTAATGATGTGTTTAAGGTGATGGAATTTGGCATACTCTGTTGCAGATGCTTTGTGATTGTTGTTCCATAGCCATGTTATGACATGACTACGAAGCCTACAAACAAAAAAATAAAATAAAATAAAAAATTAGTGGATAGTATTTAGACAAAATAAGATCAAGAAAGATGATTATATACCTACTATTCAATTATTTAATTTATTTTAAAGGGAATCTGAAATCATATTTTAAAGTCATTCTGAAAAGAAAAAAACAAATGTAGAACTAACCATTGTTCGTCAACCGGTGTTGGAAGACGTGCTTCCACTGCGAAACACTTCGCTGCCCTATCGCAGCCTTCAGCACGCAGAAATAAGTACATTATTGCTTTCAATCTACATTCACGTAAAATTTATTAAAAACTGATTTCTAAATAGAAATTAATTACAAATATAGTGCTAGTACTCGTAGTAACTAATTACCCCAAGTCCAAGTCCATTTTGAATGTTTGCGGGATTGTATTTGTATGAACAACCTGTAATAATCCAGATAATACAATCAATAAAAACAATAAACTGTGTCTTCAAGTGGATCAAAATAATAATTATAATAATAAACATCCAACATAGTCATATTCGTATGTATAAAGACATGAAAAGCAAGAGATAAACAATCACTCGTTAAAAACTGTTTATCTAAAAACGATCAAAGGAGAACACAATCTGATGCATATACATAACACTTCAATACATATATGTTTTCGTACATTATATCTACACGAAGAACATATTACATACCCGTCTAAGCAATACCAACGAACCAAACCCTAGGATTTTGTGCCTCGATATTTTAGAGAAAGAAAGGGTTAAGACTAAGAAAGAAGTTGTTACTGCACATGGGGTAAAATCGTCTTGGGCCACAGCCCACAACAGATGTTATGCCCACGTATTTCGTCCCTTTTTTTTTGGGATAATGACTTGAAATGGTAACGAACTTTCGACTTTGTTCACATTTAGTCACTAAACTTTTTTTCGTTATCTATTTGCCACTAAACTATTGAAAATGTTCACATTTTACCCTTATGACCGGCTGTTACCGGTCATAAGGGTAAAATGTGAACATTTTCAATAGTTTAGTGGCAAATAGATAACGAAAAAAAGTTTAGTGACTAAATGTGAACAAAATCGAAAGTTCGTTTCCCTCTAAAAAGTTCAATGACTAAATGTGAACAAACTTCCTCTTGTATTATGTTTTAGCAAATTATTTATTTTTGTTAAATTGTAGCAACATTTGTTGACGAAGAAATCTATGAAATAAAAAAAAAACAAAACCCTGAAAATATATTTGAAAAAAAAACAAAAAACCGAAACCGAAATAAAAAACCAATGGTTTGACATTTTCCAAAATAAAAAATCAAAATTTCCAATCTGATTTTGGTTTTACAAAAAAATGAACCATTCTCACTGATGTGAATTATGACCATTGGTTTGGCATGCAGAATTAAAGAACACACAAAGAACACGGTGATTTGGGTGTTTAAGAGATGCATTCGATTATGAAAGGTGTTTACAAAAAAAGATCTAGATCTAAATCTACATAATTAACACACACAAACACTCTCAATGTTACATCTCTCAAGCACACCTCTACATGTGGTATGAACCCACCTTATATAGAGGTGTTTACATGTCTCTCTCTCTATCTCTCATGTCATAAAAGGATAGTTTTGGATAGAAAATTCTGAATTGAGCGCTTTCTCATTCCCTTTTTGGTTTTATAATCATTTTTCGATTATAAAAAGGTGGAGGGATTTAGATATGGAAATCCGAAAGTTGAATTTTTGTAAAACCAAAATCAGATTGGAAAATTGTGATTTTTTATTTTGGAAAATACCAAACCATTGGTTTTTTATTTCGGTTTCGGTTTTTCGGTTTTTTTTAATATATTTTTCGGGGTTTTGTTTTTTTTTATTTTATAGATTTCTTCATCAACAAATGTTGCTATAATTTAACAAAAATAAATAATTTGCTAAAACATAATACAAGAGGAAGTTTGTTCACATTTAGTCATTGAACTTTTAGAGGGAAACGAACTTTCGATTTTGCTCACATTTAGTCACTAAACTTTTTTTCGTTATCTATTTGCCACTAAACTATTGAAACTGTTCATATTTTACCCTTATGACCTGTAACAGCCGGTCATAAGGGTAAAATGTGAACAATTTCAATACTTCAATGACAAATAGATAACAAAAAAAAGTTTAGTTACTAAATGTGAACAAAGTCGAAAGTTCGTTACCCTTTCAAGTCATTATCCCTTTTTTTTAGTGGATGTGCCTACACCTTGTAGCATAGGTGCACATACATTTTTTTTGAAAACCTGGTTGGTTTTAAAAACCTATTCGGTTTGGGATAACGAAAGTCAAAACTGGATCGGTTTGAAACCAGTTTTTGAACAAAAAATATCCAAATCTATAAGAACTGATTTGGATTGGTTTAAAACCGGTTTTTAAATCGGACCAAGTTTCGGATCATGAACCTTTTTTTTTTGTGCACCTCTATCTAGCAGATTTCATGTGGTTATTACCATTGTAATCATTTTTTTGGGTTATTATGTTCATAGATATCGTCAGATTAAAATTATTACCAAAAAATTTGTAATATCAACGAATATAGAGTAAATTACAAAAATATGGTTCATGTGGTTATGTATATTTTTAAATTAAATCCAGTTATTTCAATTAAGATGCGAGCATCCCTGAATTTTTTTTGTCATGCATTTGGTACATGCATTCAATGTCGTTTGTCTTGCCCCTAATAAATCAGATCATGTGTCTGAAGCAAATCAATCATTTTATCTAACTTTTTCAATCTAATAAAGAAATCAACATACCCCTACCGCTTTCCTTTCAAACCTCTAACGCCCTCTTATCGGAAAATCTATACCGACTTCCATGCAGGCCAATGTACAATGTTTAATAAGAAAAAAAAACTAAAAGTACACCTTTTAAATTGATAGATCTTCCAAGTACAGTATCTTAATAATAGAAAAATCAAAAGTGCAAGATTGTAATAGAAAGTAGTGAAATGAGTGTTTTGCAAAACTAGATGAAAGTTGTCGTTTTTATTTATGTATGAGTGTTTAGAAAAAGTAACATAAAGCTTTTGATGTGGTGGTCTTTTTTATTCGGTTAAATGAATTGTAAATAAGAGGTGTCGTAATATTTCTTAGACTGCATGGCTTAAAAATCCCTTAGAGGCTATCAGACTTATGTAAATTTTCCGGTTTTGCCCTTTCTAGCATCTTGCTAGTTAGGAGTTAACTGAATTTTTGTTGTTCAACAAAAAAGTTGTTACATGTGGAAATGAAAACGTAAGAATTAGTTATAAACCTATATAAGATTAATGATCATTTGACCAAGTGAGATTACAGACTAGAGAGCAATTACATGGTGAGTTGAATGATGTCACAAGTCTAGTTGTTATTCAATGAATGAAACTTTATTATTGCGAAATGTCACATCCTTCAATGGATTTTAAGTTCAATGAGAAAAATAAAAGTTTTCTAATTATTAAGTAAATATTTTTTGCAATATTCTATTGAGTTTTGTAGAGTCCAATGCATTGTAGGAACAAAATGATAGAGTTTTATGGAATATGAAACTAAGAATAACATGGCATCCGGGTTTGAAAATCATAGTTTCATTTCTACACAAGATAAAACGATTTAAAATGCTTATCGTAAGGAATGAACGTGCCAAATATAATGTTGATCTCTTTTATAAATTACATTTCTAAAACTCATTATCATAATATGATTGTGTTAAATATGTGTGTAAGTGTTAATGTAATTTGTATAGTTTAACTATAATATAACGTTCTTATGTATTTTTTTTTTCACCACATATGAAACCCCCAAACTCTTTATATTTCATTGTAATATATTTATTTTATAATTTAAATATTTTTTTAATGTGAAATATTATCATATTAATGATGAATTTTTTGCATTATCATTATAATATACTTAAAATGTTTAATTTAAATATCATGTTAAATTTAAAATGTAAAATTAAAATATCAAACAAACTTAAAAATGTTCCAAAACTATTTATTTAAAATATTTTAAAACGTTTAATTGTTTTACATGTAAATCTAAATTGACATGTCGATTTAACTAAAAATATCCAAAACCAATCTTTTTTATAATAATTGTAAATTTTCCAAATAAATGGTTTTTAAATTAATTAACAATAATAATAGTTTAAGACATGTGAGAGATATTATGCATAACCTATTGACCCATGTTCAAATCCTGACACTACTCGGCCCCTGTGGGCATGGAGGTTCGCCTGCAGTGACTCCAGAGCATGAGGCATAGACTCATGTTCATGTAACACCTGATATTCATGTATTTTACATTATTGGTCCCTTGTGTCAAAATCTTTGCATTTCAGCCCGTACG